TTCCCAGGAAAGTCAAAAAGTGCCTTCGTGACCACCCATTTTGTATTGCACTTTTTTCACTGCTTTTATTTATTTTGTTTTTTAAGAAGGCCATCAACAGACCAAAGGATCATGTGTTTGGGAGAGGGAAAAAAGGTCGCCGTTTTTCATATTTTTTCGAGAGTTGTTTGTTACATGTTTCATCATTTTGTCTTGGACGATCTTGGATGATTATTGACTAGTTGACATGTTTTGGCTTGCTTGCTCAAAAAATGATGCTGATGAACGCTGCAGACCGATGTATCGTTTGTCTTTTGTTTAAAAGTCGTTTGTCGTTTTAAATAGTTATAGCCTATAACGCATTAGTATACTATAGAATGGGAGTGTCCATCCCCCTTTGATTCCCCAGAAATGACACTATAGATCATATGTAAAAACATCGAAATTCCTAAAATGGGGTAGGGACCCCATTTTATAGTAGATCACTTTGTGCCAGTCCATGGGTTTTTATGCCTTGAATGTTAATGCATGTTGTAGTGACTTTTTCTGTACAACCATGTATTTTGTTGTGAACTTCTGGAGGGCCGTCGTTTTATTGATATAAAATGGCCTGCACACCCCCACCCCTGGAATGAGAAGAGGGATGCGTGAGTGACATAAGTCACATTTGCATGGTAGCGTGCACTGGCGCGCCCTCGGCCCGTTCACGTGGTCGGGCGGCGCTCGATTCGAGGGTAGATCTCCTGGGACGACGGGAGACGAGCAGCCTTGGTTGGTGGCCGCTGGCTCGGTTTGCCGGCGCGGCCGTGTTGACGTTGTTGTTGATTGGCGGCAGCTATGCAGGCACTTCAACAACAGGTGATGGCTCAGCAAGCAGACAACCAAGTGCTGCGAGAGAGGTTGCCGACCTTTGAAGCCCAAGCAGCCTTGTCACCAAGGAAGCATCTGATACTCAGAGTTCAAAAGACTGAACTCTGGAGTTAATTCCTTTCCAAAAACGAGTCCAGCCCAGGTCTGAACTCTCGAGGAACCCCTGTGGTTTAGCACTCTCATGTACAACCAAGACAGAACTTTGTAGATCAGTCTTCAACCCCTGCAAGAGACTGAACTCCGGAGTTTTTCCTCAAGCAGAACAAGGTTTATATCCTCAACCAGTCTCTGTTTTCACAGTGTTTTCACAGAGACTAAAGGAGGAACACTTGCTTGGCGTCGCGAAGTGATCGCGAGCGTCGCCTCGTAGTGGTTGAATCCGAGAAAACATATCCATACTGGAGGGCCCCAAGCCTCAGCATTATTTTGAGAAGGTGGTTCGACCACGAACAAGGCTTCATCGTGACATGCAGCCCAGCCGGCCCCACCGATCCAATCAGCAAAGACCCACAATTTGTCTTGAAGGTAAAATCCAACAGAAAACTGCTCAAAGTACAGTTGCTCAAGAAAGCATCAATGGACGAGCACTCAAAAGGCAACTTCACCTGCTCCTTTGTCAAGGTGACATAGTCCCTGTGCACGACGATTCCTTCTGGAGCTCTGCAAATTTGCGCAAAGCACCGAGGCAATCGACTGAGTATTGCAAAGACTTTCGAGACTTCATTCGACGGCCGCTGGTTCTTCAACTGATAGGTGGCAGCTCCTCGTGAAAACTGATTTCGTGACCTGGACAGCTCCTCGTCACTCTCGTCTGAAAAGCAAGACACCAGAGGCACACCCGACAAGCAGCCCTAGCCGCCATGCGATGCCAATGGTAAGTAAAGCTAAGCACCGACAACTTTGATAGCCAAAACTGGAAGAGCAAAACAACAAACGTGTGAGATAATGCCCAGCAAATCTTCACGGGAAAAAGGCTGAACTCTAGAGTTTATATGTAGTAGATGCGGCAAGGGAAACAGAATAAACGCTCAAGAACAAACTGAGTAACGAGTAAAACAATCGCATCCCTGGAAATTCTTCAGAGTTAATACAACAAATGAAGACAAGGGCCTCAACCATCTCCAGACTATAGAGGTTAGCCAAACAACAGAGAAAGGACTGAACTCTGGAGTTAACCTGAAAATGGACAGGTATATTAAAAGACTGAACTGTAAAGGTTCAACCTTGAACTCTGAGACTCAGTCCTTTCTTGTCACCAACAGGCGGCGTGGCTCCCGAAGTGAGGGCCTGAGGCCCTTACGAAGATGTCCAAGCCGAAAGGACTCATAGACCCAAGAGGACTTGGCAAACCTCAAGTCCTAGGAGACGATGCTGAGTCCAAGTTCAGGCTATGGGCAATCAAACTCGAAGACCACGTCTCCGGAGTCCCCGGTGCGAAGAGCAGAGAGGTTCTTGAATGGGCAGCTGGGATGGACGCCGAGATCACGATCACAGAGATTGATGCAAACTATGGCCATTCAGCGGACATCCTAGATCAGTGGGATGATGTGGAGGACTTCAACAGCCAGCTCTACACCGTCCTGAGGGCAACGACTGAGGGCATTCCGTTTGACTTGGTGGAGAATTGTCCGACAGGATCGGGGTTGGAGGCATGGCGGAGCCTCCACAGGAGGTTTGATCCCGCAACGGGTTCACGAAAGCGAGTCATGCTCCAGGCCTTGACGAATCCGGAACGTGCCACCCACGACAATTTGCAAGGTGCTCTTAAAAGGTGGAAGGCATGGAGGAGCAGATATGACCGCAAGAAGGACCAGTTCGGTGCACGGGAAGCATTGCCAGAGTCATTGGCTATGAATGCACTTGAGAAACTGGTGCCTAAGGACCTTGAGACCCACTTGATGCTCAACTACATCTGCTTCAAGACCTTTGAAGAGATGGAGCGGGAGGTGGTGAACTACATGGAGGCCAAGACGGGATCCCGAATGGTGGTGACGTTTTCGTTGTCCAGAGCCCCACGTGCAAGTTCGGCATGAAGATGTTGAGTGATGCTGACGAACTGCTCTGTGTGAGAAAGGAGACACTATGGATGACAAATTCAGAGCAGATTGCATCCGAGCTGCAAGGGGTGTGCCAGAACAAGCTGAAGGCAAGGAAGTCCATCGACATGTACATCTCGTCGGCCGTGGCCGAGCAAAAGCTGCGCAAGTGTACCCGGTGCCTTTGGTAGAGGCCATTTTGAGGGGAGTCAAGAAGGAGTAGGTTCACAGTCGGGCACTCAATGCTGGACCCGAAGCTCGTGAAGGCAGCAAGGCAGCTAGAGCTCCAGTGGCTTCAGAAGGAACAGGTCTACATCCGTGTACCTCGAAGTCAAGCAACAGGCCAACTACTCCAGTGGAAGTGATTTGACGTCAACAAAGGGGATAGTGAAAACCCTTAATCCGGAGCCGCATGGTTGCGAAGGAGATCAAACGGGCCAAACCATTGGAGATGCAGCTTGGTGGTGCAGACACCTTCTCAGCCACACCGCCCATCGAAGCGGTGTGCTCGTTGCTGAGTATGTTCATGTCGAAGGACCCAGACAAAGGTGAGCTGAAGCTGGCGAACTGGGACATTTCCCATGCTCATTTCATGGGGAAAGCGTCCCGTGACCTGTTCATGGAACTGCCCGAGGAGGACAAGATCCAAGATAGTGATGTCGAACCAATGGTGGCGAAGCTGATGCGTAGCATGTATGGCACTCAGGATGCAAGTCGCATCTTTCAGGAAGATTATCAACAATGGCTCCAAAAGGGAGACAAGAAGAGCATGACGTTCCTGAACCGCCTGATCAAGTATGTCCCAGATGGAGCGGACCATGAGGGAAGGCGCTTGGAGATTGAGGCTGATGCTCGACACACTGAGATCCTTCTCCGGGAGTTCGGCTTCAACAAGTCCAGGGGTGTGAGGTGCCAGAGGACAAGATGACTCAGGCAGGTCTCATCGAGGCAGATCGCCAACAATCCTGGACGACAAGCAGACAAGCGTCAACAGGTCCATGGTCATGCGAATGGCCTACATGAGTGTGGATCGCCCTGATTTGATCCACGTGGTGAGATCGTTAGCCTCGGCAATGAAAGCGCCCAAGATGGCTGACTGGCAACGGCTCAAGAAGGCCGTGAGGTATTTGGTGAAGGAACCATACCTGAAGAGGATCTTCCGAGAACAGCCCATTGAGGACTTCAACGTGGTGGCATTGTCCGATTCAGACTGGGCTGGAGATCTTCGGACACGGAGGTCGACTACAGGGTCAGTGCTCAAGCTGGGGTCGCATACGATCCTAGTGAAAGGAGCGACTCAAAAGGTCGTTGCACTGTCATCCTGCGAAAGCGATATTATGGGATGTGCAGAACGGCTACTCAAGCCGAGTTCGTTCGTGGCATTCTCTGCTTTTGGGGCTTCGAGGCCAAGAAGGTGAAGCTCCTGGTCGACAGCAGCTCGGCGAAAGCCATGAGCGAGAGCTCGAGATTGGCAAGGTCAGCGGCAAAGTGAATGATGCCGACTTGACCACAAAAGTGCAGCCAAAGAGTGTCATAAGGTCGCACCTTGAGCGACTGGGATTTGCAAGCAGTGGACGAGCTGGACACAAGGGATTGAGCTGAAGTCCCGGATCCAGGCTCCACTACCCTTTTGTGAACCCTGCTGTGGTCGTAAGGACCGTCGCAGTGCGGGGTGCAAAACTTGCACACCTTTCAGGTTCACACATACCGAAGCCACCTGAGGCATCCAAAAGGGGCGTGAGTGACATAAGTCACATTTGCAGTCAGAGCACTACTTGTTTGTTCCAATGCACATTCCAGGCCACGTTTTCAGCATAGCAGGGTGGGGATGACTTGCTGAAGTAATATGATTAACGGCTCTCATACTTGTACTCTCATCGCATTCGTGCAATATAGTTAGAACATGTTGGTCTATGCGTTTGCTTTCATCTGCGTCCTTGCATTTACGTGCGTTTTGAATTTTAATTTTGATTGGTGTGTCCTTTTATATTTTGGTGGCATGTTGCCGGGATAAGTCCTTATTGTAGGTTGCCCAGGTGGCGAATCTCATTGCCACAAAGCCTGACTATTTGGACCAGATCTATTCTTTTGGCCAATTCCCTCCTACATGCTGAGGTACGCTCAGTCTTTCCTGAAATTGTACGAGAAACTTGGAGGGTAGTTTGGAACCTGATGCCTTTCAGTTGGCTGCATGCAGATAGGAGGTGTGTTAAGCCACAACCTGCGATCAGTTTCAAGGAAAAGATCCTACGTTCTCCAAAGTACCTGGGAGCCTTTTGGTTGCAATAATGTCAGGTGGGAGGTTGGATGTGCGTTTCTACTGGCATTGATGGATTGATGCTTGGCATTTTTCTGTGCATTTCATGGATTGAGAGCTCAGGCTGCCGCCGGTGGATTGGCCTGACTATGCTGCCACCAGCTTGCACCGACAGTTGTGTTTGCCATGTCAGTGACTTGAGAACTGGGGTCGCCAAGGTTGCTGCCACTCAACTGGCAGACACTTGGCCTGATGTTGAAACATGTTGGAACTTTATCATTCAATCTCAGGTAGTCAGAGCGTTGAGTGATTTTAATTGGAGCATTGTAACGCCTATCACCTTCCCCCAACGAAATGATTCGCCTTGCAGAAAACGCAGGAGCTGCTGATTCCAGGCACAAGTCGTTTGCACTCCTTCAGAGTGATGGACGACTCTCAGCTCAACTGTTTTGATTGGAGGAGCAGTTCGGAGCAGCTTGCAGATCAGGTCCCCGTGGAGTGCGTGGACTACCGGAAGCTGATCCTAGAAGACTTTTCATTGGAGGCAGTGACCCATAGTGACCCTGAATGTAGCCACGGCAGCGGCAATTTGACATGCGGTGTTGCAAGTCATCATGGTGGACAGGGCCAGATCGATGAGGTGGAGCTGACGGGAGGGTCACAGCTGGGACCGAGTACGTATGGGTTATTCGATATCCATTGTTCACCGCGTCGGGCGTCTCTGTCATGTCCAGGTTGTGGATCAAACCAAAGAGTTGCAAGAGGACACTGGCATCTACGATGCCTTGGGCTGCCAGGCGCCAGCCCAGCAACGACACTCCAAAGTTTCTTTGGAATGGACATCCAGCAATGTTGACATGGCCTAGAGTCTATTGCAAGGCATCCTGACACATCCTGACAAGGATGCCACGTTGGCCATTGTCAATGTCGATATCACTGTCCCGTTCATAGAGTCAACAACTCAAGATTGCTGTGCCTGTGACGTGTTCTGACATTTGACAGGAAGAGGCCCAGCGAGCAACCCTCTCCATGCTTTGTTTGGTTTGGTTTGTTCGAGAACCTTGGTTCCAAGTTTGGCTGCTACCTCGGGAGCTCTTGGGAAAGTTTCGGGAGGAAATGGGATAAACACATTGTCCATCAACACGTCTTGACTCCTTGTTTATCGAAGGATAGCTACGAGCACATGATCGCCAACCAGGTCGGAGTCAAGAAGCACCTGTGACAAGACTGACTCCGACCACAGAATGTTGATTCAGGATGACCGTTCACGTCTCTCCAAGTCCACATGGAAAGCTATTCGAGCAGCTTGCCCAGATCATTCGGTGATGTTTTGCCACATCCCCGACCAGATCATGGATTCAGGGAGAACAAAGCGTGCCCAGGACCTCCTCTTCTCTCATGAAATCAGCTTGGACGAGTTGAACGGTCTCATGGTGCTGCTGGCCATTCGTGACATGGCAGAGTTTTCCACAGGTTTCCATTGTTTTGTGACCGGGTTGTTTATGGGGGGGGAGGAGGCTTGCCCAGATATCCAAATTCTGTTTGCCCTCAATCCCATTCGTGGGAGTTTGGGTGCAAGAATAAACAATACCACATGGGGATCTCCAAACCAGGCACCTGAAGCATCAGCCTGTAATTGGACAAAGACACTGCACGAAACAATGTGGATGATTAATATCCATGGTTCTGCTGTTCCTTTGCCGGGCTTATATACAAGTAGGCGGTGGTGCTCTAGTGAGAAGCCAAAGGCTGACTTTCAGGCTCAGTCCAGCATATATGCCTACTGGCACAGTGTAAGCTGGAACACGTGAATTCCCAAACTGTGGGGGCCAGACAGCGTCCCCCTTTGCAAGCTTTGAAGAGCAAAGAGTCGTGACCGTATTCACAGATTGTTGCTTGTCTCGCTTGTTGACAACTTCGTTATTGAGTTCCACAAGGAAGTTCCATACCTTTGCTTTCTCAAAATTATACCAGCATAGACCCAAACAGTTTCAAAACGATTACAGAGTTGGGACCAATATCAGTCAAAAGTCAAAAACAATTTCTAGGTTCGCCCTACCTTCCCCCTCCCCCCAAGAGCAAATTGCTTAATCAATGATGTTTGTCGGCATTGACATCGCCAATCGTTCGGCTACAGGAGAAGACGAGAGAAGAGCAGGACAAGATAAGACAAGAGGAGGACAAGACCCGGTCACAGAGCCCGGCCACAGAGTTCACAGCCCGGGCACCAGTCAGTGTGTCCAGGGCTGGTCAGCGCGGCAAGAGGACAAGAGGAGGACAACAGCAGGACAAGAGAAGGACAAGAGGAGGACAAGACCCGGCCACAGAGCTCAGGAGCGCGGTCAGTCAGTGTGGCCAGCCGTTTTTTCTAAGATAGAACCTTATATAACTTGTTGGAATCTCACGAGATGTCAACAGGTACTCACTCAGGTCATTCGTCTTGACACATTTACGCCGTGAACACGAAGGCTCAATTTGCAGCTGAAAATAGTGTCTGCGCTACTTTGCATGGTAGCGGAGCTCGGGCCGTAGCGAGCCCGGGCTCCCGCTTGGCACCACGACAGCCACTTCGTGGCCACGGACTTCATTGGTTGGAGGAAGAGCGAAAGGGCTCTGGTTGTGCGAGCTTTTGATCCTCGCTTGCCTTGCAGGTGGCATCAGCGCCCCGGCTTTGCAGGAGATCAACTACTATAGCCCAGGACGTGTGATCTCCACAGCCTGGAAGGTGAAGAAGCGCTGTTTCCACTCAGTGATCCTCGAGGGGGACATCTACATCGGCAAGGTCACGTGGGTGAAGTCAGGAAGAGCCACAAAGGCATCCCTGATTGTCAGGGAGAAAGGAAAGAAGAAGAGGAGGAAGAGGCCGATCCGTGAGGTGACTGTTGTGGTCCCCAGCAGGTGGTCCTTTCTAGAGAGGCTCGAAAACAAACAAGAGGAGATCCAGGGTGACCAAGTCTGTGCATTGGTGGCACAGTGGAAGTTTTGGGAGCTGGTGGCCTATAGCGGGCAAAGATTTCCAGAACAAGGTGAAGAAGGAGGAGCAGATTGGAGCACAAAGAGTTACTATCCAAAGCCCCGGAGAATTGAAGCGATGGCTGAAGAAAGCCTGCGGCTCACTTCGACTGCTTTGGAACGACTTCAAGTGACACAGAGCGCCCAGGCATGGTCCCGGCATTTGAAGACGCCGGACGTGTTCAAGCCTGAGTCGCGTGACCTTGAACTCAAAGGTTGGAGCGATTGGAAATTTTCCTTTTGCAACTATGTGAGGGGCATTGATCCAGCCCTTGCAGCGGCTATGGAGGCTGTTGAGAAGGAGCTCAATGCGGACTATGCCCTCGACGACATGTCAGAAGAGATGCAGGGCATGGCAGTCAGGCTGTACAGCTTGCTCACGTCCTACATGAGGCAGAGGCCGCTGAAGTTGGTCCGCCATGTGAAGCAGGAAAACGGGTTTGTAGCATGGCAAACTCTGCTCAAAGAAATGCAGCCAGCAACGAGGGCCTGGAGTCTAGCCCTACTGACTCAGCTGTCCCGTGTGCAGTTTGCAGAGGGTAAAACACTCAGTGAACAATTCCCTCAATATGAGGCTATCGTGGCCGAGTATGAGAGGATTTCAGGACGAGAGTACAGTGAAGATGCCAAAGTGGCTTCCATACTTCAGGCTTGCCCCAACTACATGAAGCAGCACTTGCAACTCTGGGTCGATGATTCGACGACCTATGAGTCCTTGAAGAACAAGATTCACCACCTTGAGGCTTTGACGACAAGGTGGGAAGCATCGAACAGCTTGGCCCTTCCCACAAGAGCCAGTGGAGACGACCCTATGCCGATGGAGGTCGACTACGTGGGCAAGGAGAAGGGCAAGAAAGGAGGAAAGAAAGGAAAAGATATGAAAGGGAAGAGCAAGAGCAAAGATAAAGGAAAGGGCAAGACAGAAGGCAAAGGAAGCTGGAAGGGACAGGAGAAAGGAAAGACTATGTGGGAGAAAGGTCCATGGAGGAAGCCAGAGAAAGGGAAGAATGAGAAAGGTGGAAAAGGCAGCAAGAGTGGCGTGTGTCATGTCTGCGGAAAGCCAGGTCACTATGCTAAGGACTGTTGGAGAAGAGTTCAACAAGTTGAAGAGCATTCAAACCCTGGTGGAGCAGCAAGTTCGTCGACAGGGCACACAGGTGGTGGAACTACACCACAGACTACGTCAGTGAAGATGGTTCGCATTGCAACACCACCTGATGCACCGTTCACTGAGGTCTTTGATCTGACCACGCCATGGACCGCTGCAGATAGTGAGTGGCACCATGTGGCACCCATGGAGAGTGCAGATGGTGCGACTGGCTGATGACTTTGAGGAATCAGAGCAGCTGGTGGAGCAAGAAGAGGAAGAGATGAAGCATGAGGTGTTCTATGATTGCCTGGAACCCTCAGTCTGGGCACCTGAAGAAGTCCCCATCATTGCAATGGATTTGCAACAAGTTGAAACTGAGGACATTGCCTTCCATATGATCCAGATGGTCAGTGTTGGTGATTTGGACGAGGAGGCATGCTTCGTGACGCTTGACAGTGGAGCGGATGTGTCAGTGTTGCCAGCAAATTATGGCAACGTGGGAGAATGGAGACCAGGTGCAAAAGAGTTGAAGATGGTGGATGCTGAGGGGACAAGAATAGCTCACCAAGGCTTGACTCGAGCTAAGGTGAGAGTGAAAGATGTCAGTGGCAAGGAGATTGAGATCATTGAAGAATTTGTTCTTGGGAACGTTCAACATCCCATCATTTGTGCTGGCAGGCTGCTTCGAAAAGGATGGAGCATTCAATCGAAAGAGGACAGCCTGCAGCTTTGCCACTCCAAGCGAGACATCACCATCCCCATTAGCAATGAACGACATTCTCTGCAGTTCGAGGCAAGGATCTATGGGATAGAGCAGAGGAATGGCAAGGAGACTGAAGAGAAGAGGGTGATGGTACTTCGAGGCTATCTCAGCCGCTACGTGGAGGAACTGGAATTCGTTCCGGGTTGGCACAGATTGCCAAACGGAGTGATAGCCCATAGTGATCCAGTGGCTATATACATGGTGGACCCCAGCCAAAGCATTGAGGGTGATTGGAAAGCTCGGATGACCTTGATGAAAGACAAAGATGGTCTCTGGAGGCAGGTGGAGAACACAGAGAACTACAAGGAGCAAGGTGAGAAGGCTTTCAGGAAAGTGAGCACAGACAGGAATCCTGAGAGGATGCTCACGTTTTTCTCGCCCTACAAGCTCCTGGACTATTGGGCCCCAAACTCAGAAGTGCCAGTACACCCGTATCCAGAACCAACAGGCGAGATCAGGCACATCGAATGGTCAGATGAAGAAGAGCAAGAGAGAGAGGAGGAGCTGGAAGAACAAGTTGAAGCTCAGGACATCGAGAAAAGGTATGTCCTGGAAAGAGAAGATGAAGTCGAGCTGGACGAGGTGCTCTACAATGAAAAGGGTACAGTAAAGGAGTTGCAGCTGGCATGCAAGGAGAGGGGATTGCCTTGCACTGGTAGCAAGAAAAGGTTGTTGTCGAGGCTCATTGGTTTCAAGGTCGACATCGAGGACAAGTTCCAAATGAACATTGCAAGCAAGTTGTTCAGGGAGCAGCAACGTACACCAATGACCTTGGGGCAACCGAAGCTACCATCATTGCCTGAGCAAGAACTCCACTTCGTCACTCATTGGCCCTATGCACCATGGTGTCAGGCATGTATGGCGTCAAGAGCAAAGGAGGACAAGCACATGCCACAAGAAGGAAAGCCGGATCTTGGAACTGCCATCATTCAGTTGGACTTCATGTACACGTACACAGGCCCAGAAGGCCGAATGGAGGAGCCAACACAAGGGAGAGTTCAGGAACGGCAGGACCAATTCGGCACTTGTTTGATCATGGCTTCAACAGAAACCAAAGCAATTCATGTGGTGCCAGTACCCAGCAAAGGCACCGCCAGTCTGAAGCAGGTGACCGAAGAGGTGATTCGCTTTTCACTGGAAAATGCCGGAAGAGACAAGTGCATTTTCCAAGCAGACTCTGAGAGAGCAACTCGCCAGATCCTGAGGTCTGTTCAACAAGTGAGGAAGGCGATGGGATTGCAGACCGAACTCCGCCTCACAGGAGCAGGACAACACGCCTCAAATGGATTGGTGGAGAGAGCTGTTCAAACAGTGAGGAGGTTGGCAAACTGCTTGAGGTCATTTGCAGAAGAACGAGCACGACTATCCATCTTGGGGGACAACCACTTGTATCCATGGTCCTTCAAGCATGCATCGTTCTTGATCAACAGATACCGTGTGCTGGAAGGTGTTGGGAGAACGAGCTATGAGCTGGCCACAGGACACGAGTACAGAGGAAAGTTGGTACTCTTTGGTGAAGTGATCATGTACAAGAGGATGATCAAGCACAAGGGATCAAAAGCGTTTGAACAGGGCATTTGGTGTGGAAAACACTCCTTCAATGACTGCCACATCGTGCTGACGCCAGAAGGAGCATGTGAAGCAAGGACAATTCGAAGATTGGCTCCAGAACAAGCCTTTGATGGCCCAGCCATCATCACGTGCAGAGGATTGCCATGGGCCTACTCACCCCAGGGCATTCTCATGAAGCATGGAGGCCAAGCTCAGAAGTATCGACAGCCAACATTGGAGGCATAGATTCAGCCAGAAGAGCTTGACAATATAGCACAAACAGTGGCTGCAGGACTGGTCACACCAGCCCCAGGCCTTCATGCTGGTCAAGGCCAACAAGCAATTGATATGGCTGCACCAACAACACCTGCACTGCCAAATCCATCAACGAAGAGGCAACAAGAGGAGAAAGAAGATGAACAAGTTCTGAAGAGACAAGATACCACCGAGTCGCCAAGGAAGTCGGCAGAGAAGAGAGAAGCCGAAGAGGTAGAAGAAGAAGCAGAGAAGAGGCAGAAAGCAGGAGAGAGCAGTGAAGGAAGGCTTGGAGGTACTGAAGTGCACATGGAAGAAGAGAAAGATGCAGTGAGAGCAACAAGACCAGCCGAACATGAGGCTGAAGGCTCACCCAGTGGAAAGATTGCAAGGCTGTATCCACCACACTACGCAGGCATCCAAAGTGTCGAAGCTCACGGTGATGAGGAGTTGGGATTGGAGCACATCCCAGAAGAGATGAATGAGGAGATGCAATACAGCTATGGAGGTGAAGAGGATGGTGACCCGCCAGAAGTCACTCAAGAAGAGTTGGATGCGTTGGACTGTGACAAAGAAGCAACAAAGGTGGAGATTGAAAGAATGCTAAAGATTCCGGCCATGGAGGAGTCAACAAATGAAGAAGTGAGAGCATGTTCAGGGTACACCATGTCAACGAGGCTGGTGTACACATGGAAGCACAGGGTGGAGCAAGGAGGATGGTTTCGACGAGCGAGACTCGTTGCAAGACAATTCAAAGCGAGTGTGGATGCCGAGCAGACATTTGCTCCAACATCGCTCATGATCATACCAAAGATGATGATCCACGTGCTTCTGAACGTGTGTGCAGGATTTGCGGCAATGACCCTGGACATCAAGGACGCATTCCTCATGGCTGACCAACCATCTGAAGAAAAGGCATTCATCAAGATTGACGACAAAGTGTTTCGACTTTTGAGGTGCCTTCCCGGACAGAGAACAGCTGCATCACAATGGTTTCAAATGTTCTCGCAAGCTTGCAAAGAGTTCAAGATGGAGCAAGAAGATGCAGCCCACATTGTTCCTGAGGCAAGGAAACATGTACCTAACGGTGCATGTGGATGATGTCTTCATGGTAGGAACGCCTCAGATCCTTCAGGAGTTCGTGATGTTCTTGAAGAATGTGAAGAATTGGAAGGTAGAGGCGAAGGGGCCGTTCACTGCAGGAGAGAAGTTCCTATATCTCAAGAGACAGTTCAAGACTACAGAAGATCACTGCGACATCAGATGTGATAGGAAGCAGTATTATGGACTTGAGAAGGAACTGGATTTGTTTTGCAGAGCATATCGCAAGACGCCCCTCGACCAGAACTTCACAAAGAAGGACGATTCCCCGCTCGTGGAGGCAGAGGAAGTGACGAAATTCAGGAGCATTGTTGGAAGATTGATGTATATGGCAAGCGAGCGACCAGATGCACAGTTCGGGATACAATGTTTGGCAAGGAAGATGTCTGCGCCAACGAAACAAGCCCTGAAGAACGCATGGCACCTATGCTCATACCTCCAAGGAACCATCGACTATGGTGTGAGGCTGTCAAGAAGGGAGAAAGGAAGGTCAGTGCTGGACACCAGAGAAGATGAAGAGATCAACAGCAGTCCTGCACATTTGGTGGAAGTGCCCACGGATGCAGACTATGCAGGGAACAGAGATGATAGAAAGAGCACTACATCGTTCCAGGTATACATTGATGGGAACCTCATCGAAAGCCGAGTCAGGACACAGAAGGCCATAGCATTGTCCTCAGGAGAAAGAGAATTCGTAGCTGTGGTGGCAGGATGCTCTGATGGAATGCTGATCAAGCATTTGCTCAACAAGATGACCGGAGGAAGCTGTATGATGAAAGTCAGAACAGACAGCTCGGCTGCCCGGTCTATGGTGCAGCGCCAGGGCATTGGGCGCGTAAGACACCTGGATGCGTCATTGCTGTGGGTTCAACAAAAGGAGAGTGAAAGAGCCTTCAGCATAGCAGCCGTCCCGTCAGAGTTGAACAGTGCTGACATCGGCACAAAGAGTTTGACAAGGAAGAGGTTGCTTGGCCTACTGTATATGATGAAGTTTGTGGACGCAGTGGGCGACAGAGTGGGCACTGAGGAGTACAGAGACCTCGAGTACCAGTACCAGATCAAGAAAGGGACTATGAAGATGATGAAGTCAAAAGACATCCGCATCGGCCTGCTACTACTGATGGCAAGCATGAATTCAGTGGCTGGAAGCCCAGTTGAGAAGGAGGAGAAAGCAGGCAGCGAGTATGGATGGTGGGCACTAGTCTTCTGTGCCTTGATTGGAGCCTTGAGCACACTGAAGTGGCTTCGGATCTTCATGATCGAGGGTCTTCATGGCATGCTGGGTCGGATGATCAAGTATGAGACTTCAGCAGGACAGGAGACCACAAGCCAGAAGTGCGATCAACAGACTCAAGCAAATGAGTGGATCGACTCCTACATCTGGCAACAGTACGAGGAGGAGAAAGAGGAAATGGAAGAAGAGATGCACAATATGCAAGCTGCATTGCTGGAAGCAGAAGAGATGATGGGTCATTTGCAAGAAGACCTAAAGGAGGTTCGACTTCAGCGAGACGACAACCTCGCCATGTTTCTGAAAAGTCAGCAGCAGCAGATCAAGATCGAGAAGAATATGTGCAATCTTCGAAAGGCGCCAAGTGGAAATGTCATCCACTTTGATGCTAGATGCATCCACTGGCAAAAGGCCAGAAGCGCAACTTTCTGTAGTGTGTGCCAAAACGAAGGGGCCGTGTTAGAATCTCACGAGATGTCAACAGGTACTCACTCAGGTCATTCGTGTTGACACATTTACGCCGTGAACACGAAGGCTCAATTTGCAGCTGAAAATAGTGTCTGCGCTACTTTGCATAACTTATAACGGTAAACTGTTTGGGGAGTCATTGAAGTTGCTTGCCTCTGCCATCCTTGAGAATTCTTCGTGGTCCTGTTACCGTACCTGCATCGCACTGCTCCGTTGTCAGCTCATGCATTTCCCTCTGTACCTGCCAAGTCAAGAACACAGCGACCTAGAACAATGCAATTTGATTTGTTCAAGTTCAAGCGATCAAGCCTGCAGGTGGCATTTGCAAGAGTCCAGATTTTGCCAAGATCGCTCCACCCAAAGACCGCACCACACCTGAGCAGGTGATCCTGAATGATCCGCTTGTTTGATGTGATTTGGTGACTGCTTGCGGACGTGTGATGGAAGAGCAACCGAACATAACCCAACTGATGAGTCTTAATTGATCTTACATGATTGCACATTATGGTAGGTCCTTTGCAGAAAGTCAAAAGGTGTCAAGCTTGGTCATGAATACCGGCACACCTCATCCTGGAACCTGATATGTGTGCAGGTGCTGTCTTACGCGGTCGAGAACTTGCAAGCATACCTGCCGTCCTTGGCTTCTCTCAAGAGCGAAAGCTATGAACACCTTGGCCCCATTGCACCTTGGCCAAGCGCATGGCATCAACTATGGTCTGCAGTTGGAACACCTGTGAGCCCTGTTTTTGCAGTTCAGGTTGATATTTTGAAGGAGTTCAACTTTGCACAATTTCTGCAGGGTGAGAATAACCCGCACTCAGTGTGGCTCCTGAAGAATGGCTTAACAAGTCAAGGTGGAAAGGTTTTGAAGAGCCTCGGATATCGATTACGTTCATTTATGACATGACATGTGACTTTTGCTAAGCGTGAAGACCTTCTGGTGACTCGTGGAGACATCAACCTCACAACTAACATATGCATATTTCAGATTCATTGGTGGCCTTAACAGAAGTCGGCGTTCTCAGTCTGACTCCTTGCAATCATGGTTCTAGCATTCAGGATGTGTTTGCTTTCTCAAGTTTGTATCCTTTGCGGAGCCACTTGGCAAATGTCAGGAAATAAGTGCAGTCACGAGTTCAAGACAAGTTCATCAAAGTAGACATTCCTTACCCATTTGTCAGTATTCGGCTGCTGAGTTGGAAGCAGCAAAAAGGCTCTTCTCAATCATCCCTCTGAGTGAGAGCAAGAATTCTACAGGTCATGGGAACCACCACTTTGAGGGGCTCACTCTTTTTGAATGAAGCCAACGGTCGCTGCTTGGTGAAAGCTCTCAACACCCTGCAGCATATTCACGTCACTTGGCGTTCTTCAGCATGCGGAGAATGGCTGAAAATTAAATTTTTCTTGGTATATTTATTTCATGAGGGTTTAATTACAAGATATCCATGGGCCTCCCCTTTTGAATCGAGTAGCCCAGGTCTCGCAGTCTCTTTCGGTTTCTTAACAGGGGTCTTGCTGGTGGGAAGGTGCACCTAGGGTGGTGTGGATTTGTAGAGCTTGTCAAGGAGGCATACAGTGTATGTGTTACGAGATTGTGCGGGATGCGTTGAGGGTGGGTGGGTTTTGAGTCTGATGGTTTCCTTATGTTTGATACTGGGCCGCTGCTGTGAGTGTGTAAATCGGGTGGGCCAGGCCATGAGCTTTCTGATTCTGGCTACAATGATTGGACCACTTGTGTTAGCCACCACTCGCAACTTATAAAACATGTATGCCCGCCGTGTGAAAATACTCACCTCTCAAAGGAATGCGAACAGTTGCCACTCAAAACTTGCAGTACAGATCCTCTTGGTTTCCCCCTGGAAGTTCCGAGAGATGACAGGCGGAAATAAATGTCGTCAGTTTTGTAGGCCCGTGGCTTGGAATGGCTTTATTAAGTACGACTAGTTTATAGCCCGAATGCAGAATCAAGAAAGGCTTGTGTTCAAAACCTATCTATGACTTGTTGGTGGGACCAGCTTGGGGCTTGGATTTTGAAGCATTTCGGGTGTCAATGTTTGATATATTAAAGGACCAGGGGCTATGGCTATGACTGAAATGATTTGTTGGTTATACCTAAGACACCTGGGTACGATGTAAAATTGTTGTGAAACTCAATAGTCCTTTTCTGGAAAAACTGCTGCTTCATGGGTTTGCCTGTCACTTTGTACCTTCAGTAGTGCAACAAAAAAGTGTGCAAGCAAATTGCACCGTTTTGGCGCCGTTTTGCGCTGTTCGTTTCCTTGCCCCAAGAACCATGTTGTGTTTGAAACAACCTAAATAATACACACGAAGGAAGATGTAGGTATTGTATAGATATAGTATAGATTATGCAGATAGGTGACGGCCTGACTATGTAGAGCACATTCTCGGTAGAGGTCTCGCTTTTGCAACATCAGAAGTGCTATATATAGTATTTCAAAGGTAGACCACCATGTTTTTCCAGGTTTGACCATAGCAGTTTGCTTTTGGGGTGCCGTCCCAGTTTGCGCGACAGGAGTTGGATCCTCATGAAGTGTACTGGAAATACATCCAGAGTCGAGCGGAGGCAAAATGCTTCTGTATACGTACAACAGAGCCTTGAAACTGATGTCGAATTTTGTGATTTGCTCAACTAACTGGATCAAATTGAACTCATGTGTGCCCATGAGAGGCTTTGAACTTGCCAGTGCTGACACCTTCGCACATGGTCCAAGCACGATTGGCTTGCCTCACCCGTGCCCTAGCTGACACCGGGAGTGGTTCATGGTTGTGCTGTGCGAAATTGGTCCCGTTGGATGTGGCCATGTGGCAAGCCATTGAGTAGGTTGGACAAAGGTTTGATCCCCTCCTTCAAACGCGTCACCTCCCAGGATGCGTTGAGCAGCAGATGGCAGCAGACTTGCAAGATGATTGGCTGCAGTTGACCCAGAAAGAGAGAGACTCTTGGATGGATGATCAATGATGACGCAGTAATCGGGTAGGCACCCGGCAAAAAGTTTTGTCAAGCCATGCGATCCCTAGAGCCCGCATGCATGTTTGAGTGCACATTGTCAGTAACAAATCAAGCGCATAGGATAGCATCCCTACGACAACCCTAAACCGCAAAGCAGTGATAAATCTCAACCTGAAACGCTGCAGGATGTCCTGTTGGACATCTTCTTGTTGGACGGTCACGAACAGAAGACCTTCGTCTTTCTGTACCTACCATTGTTTTTGGCCAACGCCAAAGCCAATCACGATGTCGATCTCTTGGGTGGCTTGAAGCTCTTGGTGGAAATCTACGATAGGTGCATGGGGGCTGGGCAAGGGGTATCCACTCAAAGCAGGGACATTGCAAGACGCTGTTTGTCAAGCTATCGGTTCTTCATCCACTGCTTTCATGTTTTTCCATCCACCGCATCTCCATGATTTGTCCATTGCGCTTCAGCCTTTTGGCCATTGCCCTGAACGAGGAAAGCATCAGACTTGCTACATGTCAGGATCATGTTTCACTTCCACCAATGATTTGTCCAAAAAGCTGAGCTTTTGTGTCATGGGCAACCGCAAAGTTGCAAATTGACAGGTTGTTACAGCACCGCTGCTTGAGCCTCACTGGTCCAAGTGTTGTGGTGGATCTATCATCCTTGGCATTGGTGATGAAAGATGTCGAGGACATCCCCACCTTGCGTGCCTTTCCTGAAATGGTTGGATGGCATACAGGTTCCAAAAGAAAAGATTTGCCAGCGTGAGTTGCGTGTTGGATTCACAAGTTTGGAAAGAGGGCCCTCCTCGCAAACAAAATCTATCAGTATTGCAGGGTTAGAATCAGGCGCTGCAGCATTTCTAGAATCTAGAAATATCCCAACTCAGGTACATTCGTAGACGTGGTTCGCATCAGGTTGCTGTGCCTCCTTTCACTGGAATCAGTCTATGTTTAACGTTTCGTAGCTAAAAACGAAACCGGTTCGATTTTCTCCACCGCCATGTGGTGGCTTAAGCGAATGTCATCATTTGACAATCAGAGACATCCACCATCCCCCTTTTCTGTGCCTTGCGCGCACTTTTAATCACAGTTTTTTTGTTGCCAAACGGCCTGCCCCTCGCTCTCAGCTAGGCAGGAGGCTTTGGGAGGTTCATGCGTCGTGCTAATGGCCTTGGAGAGGCAAGCATTCGTGAGTCCTGAGAGGATTGACTCTATATGACCCCATTTTCTCTATCTATTTATTTGTGATCAATCTGCGGAGCGTATGGAAAACAAGACTGGATAGTAATATATATATATATATAGTTGGTTTATTTATTTATTGGTTTGTTTATTTAAGTATATGTTTGCCCTTGTTTTGCAACTCAATTGAGGCTAGGCTGACCTTTTCTGCTGGTGCTGAGGAAAATGTTTCGACTTTGCCAAGTTGGTGAAGCAGCTTGATTTGTATGTCCTGCGTTCCCAACATATGGCACAAGAGCTTCAGTTTGACGGCTTTGAGGCATGAGAATGGTGTGACTGTTCTCCTGACCAGCAACAGCTACCAGGTCCTTTCAGGTGGGAAATGTGCACCTGTTTGTCCTGCCATTCGCTGGTTTCCTGCAAGGTCAGTTGGTTCATCACACTAGAAGCGCCGACATGCCGGGCACTCACCGCTGTGGACCTGTGGACTCACGTGACCTCCTGTTTTTTCGGTCCATCTCAGTCCTTGGTTCCCGTACTTTGCAGGTTGGAACAGCTAACTGTACAACAGAGCCTTGGAAGCACTTGAGAAGTCAGTGCAAAAGTGCCAAGTTTGTTTTGAATGAGGGAAGGCCGGCTTGCCTGAACAATAGTGGTTGTAGAGTCACTGAAGCTTTGGCACTAAGGTCGAAATTGGAGTTTGCCATTCGTTCCTTGCCATTGCCACGTGGACAACGGCCGTCAATTTCTCATTTCTCTTCGGTAACTCTCCTGCAATCGGTGATTGAAGCATTCACAGTTCCAGGAACTGATCGAAGAGTTTGTGGAGCATTTGTGGCTTTACAAAGTATGCGGCTAAGGAAAGCGAGCTCCAAGAGCCGCTACGTCTTCAAGCGAAGCCTTCCCCTTTGGAACTTTAGGGGTTCAATGACAAAAGTTTTCTGTGGGCATGCCAAAGGCAGCTCGGCTCGCACAATTTCAGTACAGCACGGCACGTGCAGTGCCTCTAGATTTTCAGCTTCGTAGAAGCTAGAGGCAAAGCTTTTGCCCTTGAGCCACAGGTGTTCAACCCTGTCGTATCAGGCGTGGCGCATAGAGCGCCGACGGATAATGGATCAAAGGGAAACGAGTTGCTGAGTTGCTTTGCCTTTTTTCATTTAGTGCCCATCATGATGTTCTTTGGTGTTTTCCCTTGCTTGGGAATCTTTAGAAATCACAGGCTTCTGCAGTTTCAGGTGTGCACCTGTACAACCGGATCTGAATGCAGGGGGACGAAACTGAGACATGGCAGCTCAACTCTGATTTCTGAGGCCTTTCAATACATGTTGGACATTTTGTTAACCTCCTCACTGCGAGCAGTAGCTCCTGATCAGTTGCCACGTTACTGTTTTTCGTCAGCGTCGCAGTCGGTGAAACGCAGCTCCGGAAGAAAGGAACCCAAGAGAGAGCAGTTCAGTTCCACACGGCAGTGGGTAGTCGCGATCGGCAGGACATGGATTGAGTCATGAGTCATGAGTTGAACTGGATGCTTCACTGTTTACCCTGCTTCGTCGCGCTTCGCTTCCACTTCGGTGCGATGCATCAAGTTGAAACAGTGATGGCTCTTGAGTGAAGCAGCCAATGCATGCTAGTGCCATATACGGCAAGAAGCGTTTGGATCTTTTTTGTGCCGCCTTGCATCTACCTTACCCCTGATCTCCAGCGCGACCCAACGCATGTAGACGTGGAACCTCGCACCCATGGAGGCAGTTCAAGTATCTTCAAGGAACGGCGATAGTGGTCGATAGTCGTTCTGGAGCCATTGGTCGGGGGAATCACCAAGTTGCCCCAAGCTGGTTAAGTGATTTTGTTGCGCTTCAGCCTTTGCTATGTGGGTGGTTGGTTGACCAAATTAGAGAGGTTCTAGCACAGTGATGTACTCAGCACCGAACGGGCAACGGGTCTCGTTCAAAGCTCCGACAAAGCCCTTTTTTGTACATGTGTGATAGGCCAGCTGGCATATTTGTCGTTAGAAAGGCCATCACAGCTCTATATAGATCCTTGGAAGCTAGATATGCCACCTAGCTTTCAAACTACTCGAGGGTGTGCGTGACCAGCAGGAGTAATGTAAGTCGATGAAACATTATTGTTTATGTTTAAGATTTGGGCTTGAGAAAGCCGAACGGAGGTTTATCTAACTTGGTCCCAGCAGGCCTTTGGAGAACTGTAAGTGCAACGCCCAAGCCGCAGGACGGTCGAATCACAAGCGTGGGCTTGATGAGGTGCTGGAACGGCATTTTAGACATTTGTGATGAGGTTGACAACCCGGATCTGTCTTTCTTGTATTTTGTTTTCTGGAACTGAAAATGTCGGATTCTAATGATATAAATCAATTATATTCAATTTGTTTCCACCCATGCTTGTGTGGCTTTTAGGCCAAGCTGTGGGCACAAAGCCCAAAGCCAAGTTGTAATCCTGCCTGCCGACCGTGCTTTCTGTTTGACATGCGAAAGAAAAGATATGAAAGAAATCACACCGCTGGGTGACACGGCCACTGGTTCATATGCATTTGGTTTTTGCATAAAACAGCCACTGAATCGTATGATGTTTCATCCCTCGACCTGCGCAGTTGCCTTCGACTGAGGCTGAAGGCATGCATCACTGGCAGCCGGAGGAAGAGACGGTCGGATCTCGGCGATCGATCTGCGAACTCGGCGATCCGTTCGAATCTGGGCCGTTGCCCGACTTGACCCAAAAAAATAAGAAAATATACCCCTGGAAGAAGGAACATGTGCACTGAAGACCAAAACCGATTGGACCAGGGGGTAGCTATGAGTCATGGCAACTCCCCCACCCAGCCATGGGAGGTCGACATCCCGAAACTAAATGGATCTGTTCATTTGACCCGGGGTCAACCAGCGTGCCCGGGGTTTTGACTCACGGCCACATCTTCGGAAAAGCGCAACTTCAAAAGCGAGCGGAAGCAGGTGTTTTCACCGTTCATGCTGCCGGAGACCCTTCATTCTTTGCTTAGATGGGTCCAGGCATTGTTTTCAGCGACCAGTACTATAGTAGCATGAAAGCTCCTGTCAGAACCGAGTCGGTGCGGTCGCAGGACGTCATCGAGTTGGAGAATTACCGCCCGCGACCAAGTGGGTCGATTGATGGGGTCTTGATGGCGGGTGGGGGTGGGAGGCTTGTAAGAAGTTCATCAATTGAGTGCGAATTTCCGTATGTCAAATTCTACCCATCCAAAAAGCTTTGAGAGGAAGATGCTTGCAAAAACCTCGCACCGGTTTCGGAACCAACTGGACTCCGGACTGCTGGACTCAGCGGCCAGCGGTTATTGTGTTTTGAGTTTATGTTGGGTGCGTTTCGACAAGTAACATGGGAGGATAGTCACTGTTTGCATGTCGTATGTGTTGTGTTGTTGGGAGGTCCATTTTCATCCATTTTCCACTTCCATGTTACACTCCCTGGATGTGACCTGAACCCTGTGGTTTTGGCACCCTCAGTCCGACTGCTGTCCTCGAGCTGCACCAGTAGTTGTCAGGCTCCATGGGATCGTCTTCAGCGGGGTAGTGAGTCAGAGTTTAAACAGTATACAACTGTACTGCTTCTTTTGGGTGGGCTGCCCTTTGGCCATGACATTCCAGCGAGGCACTCCTGTAAGCGGAGCTGCTTAACATTTCATTTCAACGATCATTAGACCTTTTCCCGATCGCAAAAGCAACCTAGTAAAAAAAATAAAAGTAGCGATGGCCTCCAACGTAAGAGCCATTAGACTCTAACACCTAATAGCAAAACGAACCTAATAGCCATGGCCTCCAACCTAGAGCGATGGCCTCCAACACTTAATAGCAAAAGGAACCTACTAGCGATGCCCTCCCACGTAAGAGCGATGGCCTCCAACACTTAATAGCAAAAGGAACCTAGTAGCGATGCCCTCCCACCTAAGAGCGATGGCCTCCAACCTCATAGCAAAGGGAACCTAGTAGCGATGGCCTCCAACCTAAGAGTGATGGCCTCCAACACCTAATAGCAAAGGGAACCTAGTAGCGATGACCTCCAACCTAAGAGCGATGGCCTCCAACCTCATAGCAAACGGGCCTCCAACCTCATCGCAAACAGAACCTGGCAGCGATGGCCTCCAACCTCATAGCAAACGGAACCTAGTAGCGATGGCCTCCAACCTCATAGCAAAAGGAACCTAGTAGCGATGGCCTCGAACCTAGGAGCGATGGCCTTTAACCTCATAGCAAAGGGATCCTAGTAGGGATGGCCTCCAACCTAGTAGCGATGGCCTCCAACCTAAGAGCGATGGCCTCCAACACCTAATAGCAAAACGAACCTAATAGCCATGGCCTCCAACTTAAGACCTCTAACCGAATAGCATAAAAACTTAAAAACTTATATAGTAGCGAGAGCCTCCGACCTAGGACCTAGGAGTGGTGGCTTCCAGCCTAAGTGCGATAGCACAAGCCCTTGCCTAGTTGTCGTGGAGGTGTCGCTGCTTCCAGATCAGACACCAGCGGAGCGGGCGTCCTCTCGGCCGGCGCGACCACCCAGAGCTTGACTCCTTGCGACGCTATCGTTGGTCGAAGCACGACAAGTGGACGACGAGCAGAGGACCTAAATTTTCCGAAGCCACGCGTTCCATGGCCATGTTTTCCGCACCAAAACATTGTAAAACTCAAGACGCTGGAAATCTGGAAATCGTTGCCCGATTCACGTCACTTCTTCAGCAAAGCAACCCCCCAGTCAGAGCTGTTTTCTTTAGGGGCGTCCGTTCCCTTGGCATGAATGGAAGAATGCCAAGAGAGGTTGAGAGGCCTTTTTCTGTAGGATCCTGGAAAAAGGTGGTGCATATGGGATGAGCTTTTTGGGGCTGTTCAAATTCTTTTGGTGCATGGTTTTCGAAACCAGAGACTTGGTAGATTCCACCTCGTCACCTCAAGAATGCCAGGGACCTGGCCACATTCTTCGCTTGAAGTCATCGGCTGAACCATATGGATCCAGAAGACCCTGTGAGAAGGTGATTGGACTCTCTGATGTAGTGGCCAGGAGGGTCCAGTTGTACCTCCTGAGGATGTATATATATAATTCATAATATGCCTCAGCATCATGGAAATTGGAACAGTTCGGCCCCTGAAAGACCATTTTGGCCAGACAGGTGAAGTTCACTTCTTGACCCCACAGAGTCTGTGGATGCCTCGTCTCCATTTCTCCTCAGGCCCGTGGCTCGCCACCCAATGTCGAGGCATCGATCAGGGCGGGGGCGGTTGGAGCCCTGCGCGGCCTGTTTTTGGGACTTCCTCAGTCAAAATATCACGCACTGTGGTAACCCCTAACTTGCCATGTCATGAAGGGTTCATGTACAGTTTCCGACGTTCGTACCGACCGTCGCCTTGGCTCAAGAAACGCGCGTTCGCTGCGCGTTTCAGGGTGCACGTCGCTCGCTCGTCGTTCGCTTGCATCCGCACTCGCTCGTTGCCTTTCGTGCATTCTGGTTTTCGTGTTGTGTGTTCTTTCGGGTTGCCGTACCGAGCTCCCTTTAGGCCACACCCCACAACTGGTACACCACGGGGACCAAGCCTTCCGGGGTCCCCCGTCGTGTACCCAACTTCCTCAGGGTTCTCCGCACAATAGGGTACCTTTCCTCCAACTTGCCTCTTAGGCAACTTTGGTGGTTGTTCCCTGTGGATATCCCTGAACCCTTGTCACTTTCATTGGTTATCAGCCGTAGGTCTAACCAACCTACGAGCTCTAATAGTCCGCCTCTAATAGACTCCATGTTCAGGGTCACACCTCCTAGGTCCCCCCGTGCAGAGCCAGCGCAAGCCGCTGCCTCCTGGCGAGGATTCGCTAGGACCAAGTGTTGATCCCGATCCTAACCAAAGGTCCGAGGCAGCGCAAGCCGCTGCTGTAAGCGCGGACTCGTTAGGAGTAGGTGTACAAGAGTCTGAAGTAGAGGTGACGTCTTTGACCGAGGTTCTCAGGGCGCTGATGCCTTGAACCTGTACATAGACGCCCAAGATCCCCCAGCCGCTGCCGCAGGCGCGGGTTCGGATAGCTCCAAGTGGGCCGCCGCCGCGTCGGAAGCCGACTCCGGCCCTACATTGTTCCCGATGTCCACCTTTGAGGTCGAAGACAGGGAGCTCGAGCTAGAGGAACCCTTTGCGGGCCCAGCCAACCTGGAGGATCAGGACATTACAGGCGAGGACGCCGCTGCTCCAAGCGCGGCGTCCATAGACCCTGATATAGAGACCAACGCCGACGCCGCTGCCACAGCCCAAGGTCAGCCGACCCCTGTGGTTCAGCCTTCGGCAACTAATACCCACACTACCGACTCCACCGACCAAGGCCCGCCGGCCCCGGTGGAGGAGGTTTCGACTAGTATGAACTCCCTCAACCCTGTAGATCAAGATCAGCCGATCCCTACAGAGGAAGAGCAAGAAGAGTTCGTGCCACCGGAACGCTTGATCGCGCAAGCCTCATCAACCCCACATAGTCCGCCTATCCCCACTAATAATCTCTTCGACCCTCTCGGCGACGACGACGAATCCACCGTTGAAGATACCGACAACGAGTCGATCGCTCGCCGCATCCAGGAGCAGTACGACCTTGAGGCCGCCTTCGAGGCATCTGCCGCTGAGGCTGGCGTCGAGCCGGAGCCTGCCAACGTTGAGGTCGGGGGAGCACAACCGGAAGAGGGAGTTGGTGAAGCCGCTGCTTCTGCTTCAAGCGCGGGGCAAGTGGAGAGGGATCGAACTCGAAGGCGAGGTTGCCGAGCCGGTGCCAAGCATTTGCCTGGGCGTGAGAACCTTGCATATGGCACTACATGTGAGTACATTCGAGCACAGCTTGGAGACTCCACATATGCCCGGTTCGGTCGTCGTTTCAACCTCCCTCTCATTTCGCCCCATGTTGCCAGAAAGCAGTACCCGGAGTGGTTTGCATATGTTTTGCGCCATTCGGATCGTTGGGCTTTTGACACCGAAGGGGAATTGCTACCCGTGGATACTATCTTGCGATGGGCCACCATCCTGCCGGAACTGTGGCAATTTCTATATTCGATCAACCCAACGCTGCTGCAGGGCACCCCACAGCCCCAGTACCGACTGCCAAAACGCTTCGACGCGTTCGATCAGCCGAGACAAGGGTTGCACCACCTCGTACTGTGTTCAACTCAGATTCGAAGGCAACGTCGTCCACAGCACCGCCTCGCGTCGACCGTTCTCGTTCGGCCGCACCTAAGGTCGCCACTGCATCAACAGCAGCGGCCAGTGCTGCGACGGCCGGGTCAACCTGGCGCCCTTCGCTAGACCGTGGTCAGTCTGCAGCTGTCCTAACACCTAGATCAAGGCCGGAAAGCCCAAGTCTCAGGCAGCCGGACCGAAGCCTAAGTCTCCCAAGTCAAAGCAAGCCGCAGCCTCTGGCGCGGGCACTTCGTCGAAGTCTGCCACTAAGCCCATTCCCCATAGTCCGTGTTGTTTCACGCTAGTGTGTACAATACGTGTCTTACTTGCCCTATGTTTGGCTCAAGGAAAACAGGTGCGGTTTGTTGACTCGTGTCGGCCGTTCGCCTGTAACTACAGGTTATCAGCCGTATCGCCATAAGTGCGGTACGTGCTTGGTACTAGCTTTGGTCTCACCCCACCGTAGGTAGTGCTCTACCTAGAGGCCATGGCTGATGATGATGGTTTTCGTGGTGACCGTTCCCATTCGGGCTATGTTCCTACATCCCCTGCAATGTCTAGTTCACCTGCACTCGAACTCCCTGTCGTTCCGCTGGACCTTCGTGGGCCAATTGAGCCTCCGTCGTTCAGTGCCCAGGGGGACCTGGTGCCTACTGTCCAAACACCATCGCCTTTCCAACCTGAGTTTTCACCTGTGTTGAATGTTCAGAACGTTGATGCTAGGCAGATTCATCAACAAGCGCTTTTCGTCAACGAGGATCGATCGGCTCAGGTAGCTCAGATTGCAGAACTAAGGCATCAGGCCATTTTGGCCAAGCACGGGCAGCAGGTTGCAGATGAAGCTAGGCAGTTCAGGGATGCTGTAGCTAACCAAGCCAGGGTGGCCATCGAGGAGTCTAGGGAACAACATGAGGCTATTGCCAACCAACGATTAAGTGACATGAATCAAGCCCATCAGACCCAACAACTTCATGAACAAAGGGCTTATTTAGATCGGATTTCGCTCGAAAGACATGCCGTCATTGAGAGTGAACGCGCATCAGCTAGGCAAAGAGAGGATGCCCTCCGGTCAGAACTTGCCGAGCAGAGTCGGATCATCAAAGAGCTAAGAGAAAGGTTCGAGGTTCGACAACGCCTCGGGGAACCGAGTGCCTGTGCCGTCAGTACAGCCACTTGGATCTCAAGGGTCCCCAGCTTTGCCTCCTGCGAGTCTCCGTACTCACTTGGAGAAGCCCGGGAACGCAGAAAGACAGGGATCGTGAGGACAAGGCCAAGGAGGCCGACAAGGTTCTCATTCCCAAGTTTCCCACACCTGAGAAGTACAGAGATTGGAAGATCAGGGTGAGGGACAATATTGCAGCCGCTTCAGCCAAGCCAGATGATGCAAGAACTTGGGTTGGGAAAGTATACAATGAATCCCAAACCATTGACGCACTCGATGATTCAGAAGGCTTTGCAACCCTCGACGCGAAGCTTCTTGCAAGCCACACGAACTGCGCTGAGGGGGACCTCGGTCGTCAAATCGCAACCTTCAAGGAGCTGCGTGCCCGCGAAGAGAAGCCCGTGAAAGGAAGACATTTGCTCCTCCACTTTCACGAGTACTTCGCCACAAGCATCCGGCACGGCGCCATTTACGGCCTCGAAGACCTCATGTCGGTCAAAATGGTGAATGATGATCTGAAAGGATTCATCAACAAATGGGACAGCGTGTTAGCGGGCATGAAGAAGGAGCCCGAGAACAATGTCCTGGAGGCGTACTTTCACCTAGCGGTGAAGCGCTTCAAGCCTCTCGAACATGATCTTGCCCTATATGACCGCGCTGCGGAAGGCAGCAAAGAGAGATCCTATGATTTTCTCATCACAGCGGCCCGGGCATATCTCGAGAGAAAGAGGCTGGAAAAGATGAGAGATGCTACCAAACGCTCTCTCGGCGCCAAAGATGTTGTACCAGCTCCAGAGGATAAGAAAGGCGTGCGCTTTGATTACCAGAAGACTGGAAAATGCAAGCGCGGATCTTCATGTCCCTACAAGCACGAAAAGGGCCGCGAGAAAAGCAAAGGAAAGGGAAAGGGTAAGGATCGCAGCCAATCTCGATCAAGGTCGCTGACTCCAGGATCTCGCAAAGAGACTTGCAAATTCTGGAAAGCAGGGCATTGTCATCGAGGAAAAGATTGTGCGTTCCAACACCCTGAAAAGACTGTCCCGGCAAAGAAAGAGGACAGAAAGAAGAAGAAGAAGAAAGAGAAGAAACCTCGCAAGCGAAGCAGTTCGCGAGGATCATCAGGCTCCGACAACTCAACTGGCTCTGAGAGCCAGCGGAGAAAAGGTGGGAAGTCTTCTTCTTCCAATGTACCGGCAGCGGTCTGCCTCCTTCGAGCTGTGGTCATGGCCGCAGTGGTCTCTCAGGGATCCTCCGTCCTCATCACACGCCCGCTGGGAAGCGTGGCCATGCCAGTCCTTTCCGCATCAAACACTATGTGCACCGATTTTGACAACACAGAAAACATTGACAGTTTTGTTAGACAGCAAGTCCGTCATGACGATCAGCCAAATGTTTTTAGTCATGCTGTTGAATCTTCTTCCAGTTGGAGATCTGTTCAACCCCGAAGTAAGAAGAAAAGGAAGACTTTTACACCAGGTCGACCGGAACATGTTGAAGCCGTTCGTGTCGCAACTGAAGACGCATCCATTGCAGCCTCACACCTACAGAACGCTGTTAGGAACGAGCTCTTGTCCTTGCCGGCAGAGTGTTCGTATCTATGCAACTCTGACATAGGTTGCGTGAAGTGTTTTGGGAAGAGGTCATGTCCCTCAGTGCCTGCGACTGAGATTGCGTGGATTGCTGATACTGGTAGTGCTCACGATCTTGTGTCCAGGCACATGCTTCATTCAGATGAGGTGTCACAGTCATTGAAGCCGGTCAGTCTTCTTACCGCCAACGGAGTCTTTCAAGCCACTGACCAAGCAAGAGTCAATGTTCCCATCTTGGGTGATGACATAAACCCATACGTCCTAGATGAGAGTCCAGAGTAGGCCATACTTCAAGAAACCAGACGGTACT